ATCAGATTCCAAGAGAGAAATAAATTATTCTTAGCTGGGGTGAGAACAATATGCTTGCTCTTAGATTCCTGCTGCAATGCAGGTATGAGCAAAAGTCCTCTCTTTTCTTTTGTCACAGGAAGAAAGTGGTGGAGGCCAAAATTATGCAAGGAAATAATGGTTCGAACTATGGATTAAGGTGAGAGATGCAGGAAAAAACAAACAAACACCCCGCATTTTGAGTGTTCCTGCCGATTTCCAGCGCGGTGCTGCGCGAGGCGGGGGCCGGCCCGAATCCCAGGCGTGGGAGGTCTGCTCTTCGGACACCTCTGCTGTTAGCCCTGCACTTCGCAGGTCCACGGGGGCCTTGCGGGGTCCCACGCAGAGCCCTGTGAGATGGCTGTCAACAACCCAAGAGCGACGAGTCAGGTGCGCTCGTACATGTGTGCAAGCACACAGAGGCTCAGCGATCAAGGCTTCCTGAGAGACGGCCCCAGGCATGGCTGTTCTACCAGTGTCGCAAGGCGCACAAAGGAGCTGGGACCCAGGACGGTTGGGAGCTAGGAGAAGGGCAGAAAAGTGAGGCGTAGAGAGCATGGAAAGGGCCACGAGTGGACAGAGCTGGAGCAGCCAGTGCCGTGCTCAGGCCAGGCTCGCGCGCTTGCGGAAGGGCACACTGGAGCTGTCCAGACAGCACGGACCACCGGCATGAAGCCTGCACTTCCCACTTTCCTCCTTAGAGGGTGCTTCGAGCCCACAGGAGAAACTCAAAGCCAGTTGTAACCATAGCAGGGATGCAGCTTCCAATACGGCTCAGAGCAGCCTCCGCCCCCCTTCCCGCAAATGTGCGACGCATGCGCACCAGTGTAAACATGCCCAGGAAGCCAGGGTGGCTGCTGCCCTCCGGGAGACAGGCCTGCAGGGCCCCTGAGAAGTAAAGGAAAACGGCCAGTTTCTGCCCCAAAGTGGAGCAGTGGGAGCCACTGGGGTCAGAACTGCTGCGTGACCGGAGGCACCTGGTGGCTCAAGTACGTGGCAGCAGCGCCTTAGGTCACCATGACAACGTGGCGGGGAACATCACACCTATTCCTAACACCGCTCTCCGGCGGGCTCCTGGTGGCTTCTTCCTCCACCAGGCGGCTCCAGGACCAACTGGCAACACCACTGAGGTCGGCAGGGAGGAGGGCGCGGCATGCATTTCCAAAGCCAGCTGGCACCAAAGGCCAGGAACCCCGCGGCTCGCTTCACTTCGCTTTCTCTCAGCCTGCATGGGCCCTGGGCGTCCGCTCCTGGTCACACTGGGTGGCCACCAGCACCCGTGTCTCCGTCAGAATAGCTCCTGCTCGTCGTCCTCAGAGCCCGATGGGCCCTGGCGCACCTCCTCGTACCACTTGTTCGTCAGGCTCTTCATCTGGATGCGTCCATGGTGGAGGTCCTGAGGCAAGAGACAGCGAGCGTCACCGTCTGCCTCAGGGTCAGGGTGGAGGAAAAGGAAAAGCTGCGTGTGCACGCATGCGCGCGGGGTGCTCTGCACAGGCCCGTCGGCATCACCTGGCCAACTGCAGGAGGCTTTTCTGTGCGCCTGGACAATGAAGGCAGAGCCAGCACACTTGAAAGTCGGCTGGTCAGCAACAGCCCGGAAACACCAACTGTTAGCCAATCTACTACTACCTGAGCTCCGGGCACGGCAGCGAGGGAACAAGACGCTGAGTCCCACAAGCCACCCAGCCCCACGAGGAGAGGGAGGGGTCCCCCCAAAGCCCAGGCAGCCTCTGGCCCTCACCCTGCTCCCACCCCTGCCCATTCCAAGCAAGGAAAGGGTCGTCTGGCACGGGCCCAGCCCCACCTCCTGTGTGAGCCTCCGTGTGAAGAAGGGGTTCAGGTACTTGGCGTCCAGCCACATGAAGCCCTTGAGGTCCTGCCGCCGGATGTAGTGAGCTTCGTACTCCTCCTCGGTGAGCTCCGACAAGTGCTCCGACTCAATGGTGTTGCCCTGGGCAACAAGTCAGCCAATGGCCATCACCTGGTGTCTCCCTGGAAACTCCTACACGACCCACGCCTCCCTACACGCCTCTGTCCTGGTGACCAGAGTCCCCAACCCTAACCATGCTTTGCAACAAGTGCTAGATGACTGGGCATAGTTCCCAGGGAACTAGGAAGGTCTGTGAGAACCAAGGATGCCCAGGTCCACACCTGGCAGCTCTGGCAGAAGCTGCGGCCCCACTTCGGAAGGCTTTTGCCCACCGAATTGGTTCAGGGAGCAAAGGGGAGGTGAGGGCTGAGGTCTCAGGCACTGCAGGTCTTCTGATGGTCTCGGCCCCCAGCAGCCCAATCCGTGGCAGGGAGTTGTGGGGTGTCAGTAAAGAGAACTTCCGGTACAGAACCAGGACCAGGCCACTGGGCCTCCTGACAGTCTCTGTCCCATCCCCCACCATGCCACAGGTGCGTGTACATGGGCTTCAGCGCCGGGTCCATTAACACCAGAGAGGGTCTGTTAAACTCTAGAAGCTGCACCCCCTGCTGCGGTTTCTGCCTTCCCAGGTGTGCAGTGGGGCCTGAGAAGGTGCCTGACAAGTTCCCAGGGATGCTGTCAGAGACCCCACTCAGGACACTGGTGTGTGGCAAGGACAGGCACGTGGGCCCTGATCTGCAGCAGGACTGGGTCTTCTCTACGCCTGCAAAATGGGGCCTGTGACAGCATTTGTTTCCGCTCTTCTCAGTGCTGCTGGAAGACGCCACAGTGGCGATGTTCTTCCCAGGAATAGGGCTCCAGTAGGCACAGCACCCAGTGCTTGCCAGATGCTAATTCTGTTGGGCCCTACCCAGAACTATAAGACCCTGGTGGTGAGGCCCACTGGCCTGTGTGACAAGCCTGGACTCATTCTGATACCCATGGAAAAATTTGGGACTCTATCCAAGAGGTGTTTTTGTTTTTTCTTTTTTTTTTTTTGCGGAACCGGGGATTGAACTCAGGCCCTTGCGCTTGCCAGGAAGTGCTTATTCTACTGAGCCATCTCCCCAGCCTGTTTTTGTTTTCTAAGACAGGGTCTTTCATTCAGCCTGGCCTTGAGTTCACTATATAGCCCAGGCAGCAAACCTCCTGCCTCAGCCTTCTGAGTGCTGGGAGTACAGGCGTGCACCACAATGCCTGGCCCAAGAAGGTTTATTAAAAACACAAGAAGCCAGGGGTGCTGGCTCAAACTATACTTCCAACACCTGGGAGGCTGAGGCAAGAGAATCGCCACAAGTTTAAGGCCAGCCTGGAGTACATAATGAGTTCAAAGCCAGCTTGACCTACACAGCAAGACCCTGTTTTAAACACACACACACACACACACACACACACACACACACACACCCCAAAAGGTTGGACAGGGCAGGGAAGGGGCCTCTGCAGAAAGGAACAGGCCCGCTGAGCCCAGCAGGGCAGCTGAGGTACTGCCAGCAGTACCTAGGGGGCCTAGGTCCCCTCAGCCTGACTCCACTATTAGAACAGCCACAAGAAGACTGCTAGGCCTTTGACAACTGCCCATAGTTACTGGCGATCTTGAGCAGGAACTAGAAAAAGATACAATTCCAGAGGAAGGAGCTATGGGACGTCGTACAGCAGAGGCCAGGGCAGGAAGGTGGCTGTAGGAGGCAGCACTGGCAGGGGTGCAAAAGCCCTCCGCCACCTCTAGCCATTTTCTGTCCTGGGGGAGGCCACCTCTCATACCCTCCCAAGTCACTGCAAACCATCCTGCCCTCCTGGGACCCAAAACAGGAGGTTTCAGCAAATGCTGGGCAATGACATGATTTGGAGACCTTTTGGTGCAGCGTGTGGCCTGATGTACGGTGGGTGCCTGAAGGGGAGGGCCTGCCCCTGCTCCCAAAGAGCCAGATTCAGAACACACGTTCCTCCACGTCCACCTCAGCCCCAGTGACTGAGCTGGTGCGTGGGTGATGCCCGAGTGTGTGCATGTGCCTGTGGGAGTGCCGGGCTCTTTCCAGGTCCACCTCATTCCCCTGCGTTGGCAGACAACAGCGTGAGCAGCCCCCACCCCGCCCCTGCAGCACTGACCATCTTCTCCGTCTTGCTGAGGTTCACGTCCTTCTTGTTCCTGCGCCGGGCCTTGGCATCCTCAATGTCCATGAGGCGGATGAGGGGCATGGTGCTGCCGCCCAGCAGCAGGATGGTGAAGAGCACAATGACGATGGTGGTGGTGCCGATGAGCTGCCGCTTCTCCATAGGCTCCAGGTCAAGATGCAGGCTCAGGGCGTAGGGGATGGCGCCCCGCAGGCCTGCAGGGACAGCACAGGGTCAGGGAGGGAGCAGCAGAGGAGGTGCAGCTTCCCTGGCTGGGTCCAGCCCAGCACTGTGGACACTGGGACAGACCTGTGGAGAGGTGGGAGGGTGCAGGTGGGGTGCAGAGCAGGGACAGCCTAAGCGGCCTGCGTCCACGGCCCAGGCTGGCCAAGCCATGAGGTGAGGTGACCTGGCCAAGATACACCAGGTGTGTGTGGGCAGCCATTGTGGGCAGTGACTCCAGGGGGTGTTGCTGCAGATCGAGCCTGTGCTATGTGTGGCCCTGGCCCTGTGCTAAGCATTCTGCACACTAAGTGTCACCAATTGTCACAGAAAAACCTGAGCAGCAGGATCTGGATCCTAGAGGAAAGCTTGGTGAGTGGAACCAAGACAGCGCCCGCAGCCAGGGAAGAAGTGAGTCCCTTCAGCAAAGGGAGGACCACAGACCCAGCAGCAGGAAGCCTCTGCCCGTGGGGTCAGCCTGAGAGTAGGAAGGGGCCCAGCGGTAGGTGTGAGGGGGCACAAGGCCCAGGAGATGCGCCAGAAAGGGGGCTGGCTGGTACCCAGCAGGTCTGGGCAGGAGATCTCTGGCAATGTGGGCAAGGCCAATTCTAGCACAGCAAATGAGAGGTGACAGGTGGGGGGAATGAGTAAGGCTGACCCAGCCAAGACGTGTGGCCGTGACTCAGGGGTGGGGCCAACAGGAGCTGCTGGACAGCCGGGTCAGGACTGTGGCTAAGATTGCTGGTTTGGTGCTGGGAAAGAGGTGGGTGATGGTGGGGGGAGGACCCCTCCCCAAAGGAGGAGCTGCCCAAGCCTCCACCTCCTACACCACAGCCAGGGCTCTCACCTCAAGCCCCTTGCTCAGAACGGCCTGAGCCACGGCTTAGGTTTTCTTGGTGATTGGCAGGATTAACTATTTCACTGTACATCTTTTTCCTCATTAGCAAGCATGAGTTTCTCACACTGCATATGAATATATATGGATACTCATATATATCAAACACATACTTTTTTTTTTGGTCTTTTTGAGAAGGGGTCTTGCTATGCAGTTCAGGCTGGCCTTGAGCTCACTTTGTAGGCCTGGCTGGTTACAAACTCACAGCGATCCTCCTGCCTCAGCCTCCCAAGTGCCGGGATTACAGGCATGTGCCACCATACCCAGCTCTATACCTATTTTTGAAACAAGGCTTTTTGCAAAGAGAAATCTGAGACAAATCTACAGATGCACTTTGGAGAAAGAACATTATAAAGCACACTGCTGTATTCCAATCCACATGGAGATATTCCAATTATAATATTTAAACAAGAAAGCATAAAGAACTGTATGTATTCCTCAAAAATATTTTTTTCTTTTTTTTAAAGAGCAGAATTTTTTTCAAAAATGAATTTAAACATGCCTAAGGATCCAGTTCGTTAAGACCCAAAGATTTAGGAAGTCATTTCTAAATTTGAAAAAGTACAGAAATATTCTTGAACAGGCACTGAAACATTTAAATTAAACTATCAGACTTTTGTGGCTGAAGGGATACTTGAGCACAGAGGCTTGGGTGAGACTCGGGCAGGGGGCCCGTCTGCATTTGCGGAGGCCCCAAGGTCCACCCCAGCACTCCTGCATGGACAACAGCGAAGTTTCAACTTTCAGCTTTTAGAATTCTCAACCAATTATTACTTCAGCCTAGAAGAGAAATGAGGGTTACATCCCCACAGTTTGCCCAGCTGCACTCTGGGGAACAGGGTGGTGTGTCCTGGCTCGGCCTCTGCACTCCTCCAGGTCTCTGAGCTTCCCTGGGCGTGGCAAGGCATGGGCCTCCCTGCCCACCGCGTTGGCAAGGGGCCTGCCCTAGTAGCAGCCGTGTAGCGGGCTCTGGCAGCCAAGCACAGGCCTCCTCTGCAGCTGCCCAGCCCCGGGCCCACTCACCACTGAACCACATGATGAACATCATCTTGGGTGTGATCTTATGATCCCGGAAGAAATTCAGGAGGTAGGAAAGAGGGAAAATGTTGACTGCTCGGCCAAACAGCACGAGCACCTGCAAAGAGCAACAGAATGTTAGCACAAGTCACCCTGTTCACTTCTCAAGCTGAAGCCTGTCAAAGCTGACACAGCAGGTGACTGGCCCACTGCAACACAAAAGGCATGAGTAACAGCATGTTCAGGGAAGACGCTGATTTCTGCATGTCTAGATGAAGTTTTGTGGGTTGTTTCAGAAGAAAAGACCAGAGTGTGGGGCCGGGGAGATGGCTCAGTAGGATAAGTGCTTGACTGGCAGATGCGAGGATCTGAGTTCAATCCCCAGTTCCGCAAAAAAAAAAAAAAAAAGACCAGAGTGGTAATGACACCGATGCGATGTCAGAGGCCATGCCAGGAGCAGCAGGAGCAGATTTCAGGGCCCCACCGTGGGGGAGTGCTGCAGGGACAGCTAAGCCTATCTCTCCTCCTCTATTTTTGTGGTAGTGGGAATTGAACCCAACTTTCACACTGAGGCACTTTGCCAGTTCTTTTTTATTTTGGGACAAGGTCTTACTAAGTCCCTAAGCCACCCAGGCTGGGTGTGAACTTCCTGCCTCAGCCTCCCTAAATCTGGGATTACAGTTGTATGCCACCACACGTGGATGACAGACAAGAAGTCTGTATTCTCCCGTGGGGGCTGAAGCGGAAATGAGCTCTGAGGTAAAGGAACACGGAGGTGTGTTCCAAGAGGAGCCACACACTTGGCCCTGCCAGCGGCTGCCATGGTTTCTGGGTGCCGTCATCTACACAGGCGAGTCAGCTGTAGTGATAAACAGCTTTTTGGCTGGGCCTAGGGGTGCAGCTCAGCAGTGGCACGCTTGCCCAGCATACGTGAGGCACCTAGCTTACTCCAGGCCTTGGGTCCTAGTCCCAGGACCGCAAAAGAAACCAAAACAAACTACAGCTTTAGGTACAAGTTTAAATCTTACCCATGTGGTAGCTTAAAGCTATTTATTAATCTACTCTTTCATCTTGGTTCTCCCCACAGCTAACCGGAGAGGACAGACATGTGAGCATTCTTTAGCTTTACGTTCATTTTTCCTCAAGCGTGAACTGAGTGCCGTGGTCAGGTTAACAACAGCGGCGCCCAATCACCCAACGCTTCCATGCCAGACAGCGTGTGCGGCATCTTACGTGCTCTCTGTGGGACTACACTGAAATCTCTGCAGGAGTTTTATGAGGCAGGTATCATCACCTCCACTTTATAGACAAGGAAATGGGAGCACAGAGAGGTTAAGTAACTGGTCCAGGATGACCAGACAAGAAGAGTTCGATGCAAAACGGGCTCAGACCCAAGTGTGCCCTGGACCACAGAGGGGGCTCTGACGGTGGAACCATAACTATCCCACCCAGCTCCTCATCATGCAGGAGCCAGCTGCACTCAGGTGCTCAGGGAAACCTGGGTGTTCCTCCTAAGCCATGGCCAGTCACCTCCCTGACATCACGCCCCTGACTTTCGTCCCCTGACGCCTGGTCTCCGTTCCTACACTTGGGTTTCAGTTCCCAGAAGTGCAGCCCCTTTCATACAGTGAGCACCCTGAGGACCATCAGGTGCCCTGGAAAGGCTTCTGCGGCTACTCTCTTGTCCTGAAACCTGTGTGTGGGGACAGATGGCTGCGGCAGATAGCAGTGAGCTGCTGCCAGCAGAAGGTGGAAGCACCCGGATGGCAAAGTAGCCATCTTCAGAGCTCCTTCTCTTCTGTGTCGCCGTTTCCCCATGGGCCACACAGGCCAGCCTCACCAGTCTGCACATGGTGTGCCTGTCAGGCACATGGCAGGGAGACGGGACTTTAAAAAAACACTGGCTTCCTAATAGCTGTGTTTTGACAAGTGGCATGACAGGCTAATTGCAGGTGGATATGCTGCACTCCAGGGGGAAGGTGCACCTCAACATCACTGTGAATTAACAGGATCTGAAGAGATCAAATTATGGATTAGAGAGGGTGAGTCAGCTGCAGGGCCTGCAAGGCAGGCAGGTGGGCGGGGAGCTCAGAAGCAGGGACAAGGGCAGAGGAGGGACGCAGACAGGGACCTGGGCCTGGCTGTGCCAAAGAGCTGGCTGTCACTAACTAACCGCAACCAATCAGACACTCCAGGGAGCTGGCCTCTCTTTTAAATGCTAAACACTTATTTCTCCCATTTCATTCAACAATTGACATATGGAACCATACTGAACAGTGCCACGTGATCCAGTGGATTCCATTTTTCTTTTCCTTTTTTTTTTTTGCGGAACCCAGGATTGAACTCCGGCCCTTGTACTTGGCAGGCAAGTGCATATTCTACTGAGCCATCTCCCCAGCCCCTTCTTTTCCTTTTTAAACAGCGCATTTTGATTGGTATCCTCGGGTCCCGCCAGTCCAGTTGGGACTCTGTTTTGGGAATCCTGGGTGCCAGCATCGCCCAAGCTGCTTCCCCAGGCTGATACCCAGGGAGAGAAGGGCTTGGGGCCCACGTCCCGGGGTGCACTTACAAAGAGACACACTGGAAATAAAACTGAGTTAAGTAAGGATGTTCACTAGAAATTATGCAGAAAAAGTAGGAAAAAAAAAATCTCCAGTTTTATAATCACTGTGAACATTTGCCAGCATTTTTTTCTCTACATAACATTTTTACATGATTGCAATTGTTAATTTTGAAATCTGCTTTTATTACTCAGCCAAACAAACCAACCACATAAATTTATCCTACAACATTCAAGACCATTTAGGATTAAAAAACAGGAGTCTTTTGGGGGGTCATTCCCTCACTCAATTCCATGCCTAACCTCCCTATTGTGTTTGCCATTTTTTAAAACAGTAGACTATAAGTGGAAGAGTGTCTATGCAGCTGTTGATGGTGTGCACTTAAGTTACATAAGTGCATCCAAAATGTGGTTACTGAGCTACAAATAAGCAATTAAATAAAATACAAGGAAAATACTTACTATGCACCAGATGACAAAGGAAATTTCAAACTTGTGAGGGAAACTAAAAATGGACAGGCCAAGAAATGCAAACACACATGTTTCTGAAACAAACCAAAGAATGGATTACTCAGTGACAACTGTTTTCTTACAATACACTGCTACATCATTAGGCAAGTAAACATGCAGATGTCCCAATCCAATGTAACACTATTATAAAAAATTGTGTAACCAATTCTTTGGTTAAACTTTGTACTTACTAGGTGTGGTGGCTCACGCCTGTAATCTCAGCACTCAGAGGCTGAGGCAGGAGGACACCACGAGCTCAAGGCTGGCCTGGTCTACATAACTAAGTTTAAGGCCAGCCAACAACAGTGAGACTCAGCCTCAAAAAAACAAACAAGAAAAGAATCTTTGTACTTAGATCCCCTGTCTCTGTCTGTCTCTCTCTTGCCCTCTGCTGTCCACTGCTATTCAGACTTCCCCAATGTCCTGAGTCAATTACTTCCTCAGATAAACACTAGCCTACCCTGGGAAGATGGTAAACATAAGATTCTCTCAGGCCCAGCCAGACAGCTCAGCAGATTAAAGTGCCTGCTTAGGCAGATGCAGGTTCAATCCCCGGCCCATCCCAGCCCCACCAGGGGCCCACTGAGACAGTGACTGAGACTTGGTGTGGTGGTGTGCGGCTGTAATCTCAGTGCTTGGGAGGCTGAAAACAGGAGAATCACTAGGAGTATGATCTACGTAGTGAAACCCGGTAGACCCTGTACCAAATACATTAAAAAAAAAAAAAAAAAAATCCCATTTGCAGAACACTGTGATTGATTACTCAGGAATCCATGACAAAGTGGCACTGGTCTACATAAGTATGAAAGGGCCTTTTGTTAACTTGCTTGCCAGCACAGAGCGCCAAAGGACTGCCTTGATGTACTGAGCCATGCTGAATACAGCTGCACGATTCAGGACGCAGCTCAAGGCCAGCGGGACCCATTTCCAGCTCTCTGCTTGGCTCTGCAAACCAAGGAAGCTCGACACTGGCTTCTATGCATGTGGGAAAGAAAAGCACCCTATAAACATCAAGCTCACCACTTCAACTGTGATGCCCCAGAGGAGCCCGATCACTGGGAAGACACCGCCTAGGCATTTTAAAATAGCAACATCAAAAAACAAGTGAGCTTGCCAGGGCCAGAGCTCGGAACACTGAGATTCTGAGGCACAAGTGCCTCCCTGGCAAGCGCAAGGTCCTGAGTTCAGTTGTAATAGCAAAACTAAAAAATAAGCTTGCTATAGAACATTTCAGCAATTTTTTTTTCCCAATGTGGATATTTTTAAAAATATATTTTTAGGGGCCAGGGAGATGGCTCAGTGGAATAAGCGTTTCCCTGTCAAGCACAAGGGCCTGAGTTCAATCCCTGGTTCCGCAAAAAAAAAAATTAAAAAAATACACACACACACACACACACACACACACACACACACACTTTCACAGGGCTGGCCAAATAGCTCAGTGGAATAAAGCACCTGTAAGCAGGCTCAGGGGCCAGGGGTTTGATCCCCGGGCCTGCCTTGCCAGCCTCGCCCCCAGGGCGTGCTGAGACAGCAACTGAGACTGGCCATGGTGCCAGGCGTGCCCATAATCCCAGCTCTTGGGAGGCTGTAAACAGGTGGATCACTACGAGTCTGATCTAGTAGGGAGCCCCTGAACACCCTGTAGACCCTTCCCTAAGATATAGAAAAAAAAAAAAAAAAAACCAAACCAAAAAAACCCCACCAAAAAACCAAAAACACTTTCACCTGTGGGACAGTATATTCTCACCTTACCACTCCTTCAAAATTTATTTTAAATATGTTGTGATCAACTCCAAATTATGGCATTTAGAACACATTTACATTTAATTTGTGCTTTTCTCTAACAGCATAAATTCTAGTACATGGATATATCATGGCATATTATTATTTTTGAGATAAGGTTTCACTAAGCTGTCCAGGCTGGGCTCAACCTGCATTTCTCCCGCTGCAGCCTTCCAGGGTGCTGGGATCACAGTCCATTTAACCCAACTCCTATGGACAGATCTCTGGACTATGCAGACAGATGCTACAAATGAGTCTCCAGAAGAGACGGCCCAGGCACACACCTGCTCCCTAGGTCTGGTTTCTACTATCCATGCCAGGACTGGGCACTTGCAACCCTACAATTTCCCAATAATTTTTGGGGTTTTTTGGGTTTTGTTTTGAGACAGGATCTGTCTCTGTAGTTCAGGTTGGCCTGCTGCTTGCTGTGTAGTCCAGGCTGGCTTTGATCTTGCGGTAGTCCTCCCGCCTGCCCCCATCCTCCCGCCTGTCCCCCAGCCCTGGGATCATAGTTCTGTGTCATCACACCTAGTTTGTAAAACAGAATTGGATGAATATTTTGGGCTTTGGGCTCTTTTACATGTGAGGGCCAGGGTCAAAATCTTTAGGGTTGGCTGTCTGAGGAGGATTGTGTGGAGTACATAACAGCAGCGATGCAGGAAAGAAGCCTGGCTTATAGGCCCGCACCAACAGTGCTGAGCCGTCTGACCTTGCTTACTTGAGCCTCCTTGCTCTGTAAGGCTAGCCCCTTCCTTCTGGCAGGTGACAAAGTGGTACTAGGGCTTCAAAAGGGGATAAGGTGGGGGCCTGCCCATTAGCTCAGTAGTTTAAGTGCCTGCTTAAGCAAAGCAGTCAGGCTCAGTATGCTGTGGTTTGATCCCCAGATCCTCATGCCTTACCGGACCTGCCCTTAAGGCACCCTGAGCCAGCCACAAAAAGAGATAAAAAAAGCTTCTAAATTTTTGAGGCTAGGGAAATGGCTCAGTAGAATAAGCGCTCGCCTGGCAAGGGCCTGAGTTTAATCCCTGGTTCTGCAAAAAAAAAAAAAAAAAAAAAAAGGATAAGGTCCAGAAAAGCCAGGAGGTGCTGGTGACAGCAGCTGAGGCACAGCAAGTGGACAGCCCTGAGGGACAGTGTGAGGGTGGCTCCTTCACACCAGGTCTCAACAAGGGAGGAGCCTTTATGGGAGGTGGGGGCAGCAGGCAAGGGGTAGCAGGAAGGAGCTCAGCCTGCTGTCCCTAACAGAAGCACTCCACAGTCTGTCCCAGGGCATCATCCTGCTGTAAACTCTTCAGCCTGGTCCTTCAGGATGCTCTTGTTGAAGGGCTCTGAGAATAAGTCTGGGAAACGCTAGACAATCGTCCCCCTCTGACACTCAGAGTGGTGAAGTCTCATAGCCCAGAATCTATTGGACAGTTAACCCAGAATTTCCCCATTCTTTTTTTCACCCTGGAGAGTTTTTTTTTTTTTTTTGGTACTGGTGATCATACTCAGGACCTTGCGCTTGTCAGGCAGGCATTCAGGCTGCAGAGCTAAGTCCCACCCCTGCAGCCTTTATTCATTTAGCCAATATCAGTATTATTCCCAAGGAGTATATTTTTGGAAATGTCACTTTCTTATATTGGCAACACATGCCTCAAATGTTCGTGATCAGTAGTTTGCATTCTTTTTGGTTTTAACTGTTGGTGTCAACTGTTCCATTTAGCAGGCGTCTTGCCTGCTTTATGGAATTGCAAAGCTGGAGGGACAACTGCAGGATGAAGGGTGGGTATCCTGCTGCCAGGGGACATCTCAGCAGAGCCCACAGCAGGGCAGGAAGCCAGTTCTCTCTGGGTGGGCATACTTGCGGGGACCCCAAGGCTCGACTTACCGCACAAGAAGGCCACAGTTCGGAGGGTTTGTTGCATGAGGATCTGGGTGACCGGGGAGAGGTTGTGGTGTGTGTAGTGGGACATCACGATGCCCGAGAACAGGATGGCCATGATGCCTGCAGGATTGACAGAGGGGCAAAGTGAACAGGTGGGAGCATACGGAGCACTTGCATGTGACACTCAGACTGCTTGCATACTCCTGTAAGTCCCCAGAGCCTGGACCTTAGGGGTTTAGGAGGAAGGAAAAGAAAAGAAACCCGAGGCCTCCCGGAGGCTACAGAGAAGTAACAGGGCCTTGTCTTGCTTCGGGACCAGCTAGTGACTGGGGACAACCTGCCTCCCCTTTCGATGGACCATGTGAAGTGGCCACGACAAGACCAGGCTCCCTGCTGATCTCGGGTATAAGGGGCAGCAAAGTGCTGCGGGTGGTGGGGTGCACGAGTAGGAATCTGGATGTTGGAGCAGGGAGATAGCTCAGCAGCACAGCACCTGCCCGGCAAGCACAAGGTCCTGAGCTCAATTTCTGGTACCAAAATAATGAATCTGGGTGTGGAGAAGGGCAGACTTGAATGGACTTTCCTTAGTGGTACCGGGGATTAAACCTAAGGTCTCTGTGCTGGGCTACTTCCCCAGCCTCTTCCCTGGTCTCTTCTTTTGAGACAGAGTTCTAATTTGCTGAGTTACTCAGGAGGGTGTTATGGTTTGTGTCTAGTTGTCCCCCTAAAGCCTCAGAGTTTGAGATTAACTCATGATCCACTGGGATTATGGGTTTTAGTGCTGCTGGGATTATGGGTGTGAGTACTACACCCAGCCTGGGGCAGACAGCCTGAATGCAACTTAAGGGAGACAGACTTGCTCTCTGTGGCCACTGCTGCTGCTGCTCCTCCTTTTGCTCTCTTGCTCTCTGCCATGTGCCGCTCTGCCTTGGAGTCAGCTGAGTGTAGACTGAAACCTCCAGTAATTAAATAAACCTTTCCTTCCTTCATGTTGAGTGTCAGGTATTTGTCCCAGCAAAGAAAGAAAGGGGGTGCCATCATTCCTGGCTTCTTGGACTTTTACAATACTTTTCCTTAATTTTGAATTTTCTAATAATCCTCACATACTACCACTATAACACAGAAAGAGAGACATGCTACATATACACAGGTAGGGCAGCGTTTCTTCAGAGCTCCCCATGAGCGCACCTACAGCTTCTCTCCCCACTCAGCATCTGAGTGCCCCTGGCTGTCCCCCTCCTGCACACTTCTAAGGGACATGGCTCTCTGTAGATCTCGGTGGATCCGTGTAGCAGCACGAAACAGGCCTGTATTTACATATGGAGGCTGAGGGTTTTTTAAAATTCATTATGTAAGATGCTAAAATACACATTGAAGTAGATCTTTATAAATAAGTTTTAACTCTGTCCTGGGATCTCTGAGAAATAGGGCTTTACGGGTTCACTTCCATTTTTGAGAGGGGGAAGACCCCAGAATTACCAGGCATTCCGGCAGGTAGACTGGCTGTTACACAAAGCACCACCAAGCCGCACTCCCAGGCTGCCCTGTCCACACTCTTCAACAGCGCTGCAGGAGGGATGTGGCTGCCTGGCTCAGTCCAGGGCACCAGGCCAGGGCCAAGCAGTGCATACACAGTGGGATCGCTGGGGGAAAGCAGGGGCTGGGCCCCAGGAGGAGGAGGAGCAGCCTGTGCAGAGCCTGCGGCCCAGAGGGGAGTCATGCACTGCTGGGTTTACAGGCCTGCGCCACCATGCCCAGCTTTCTGCTGGGTTTTCAAGCAATGCCAGGAATCTGTTTCTTATGGGAAATTTTCAAACTTTTTATGAGAACTGATTTAACTGTTTGACACTTCCTGTGTGGATAAACAACCCCCATCTGGGAGCTGAATTAGATCACAGAGGCTACCTGCATAGCTGACCTACTGATACAGGGAAAGGCCACCGGACAGCCCAGGAGTAAGAGTGCAATCACTTCAGTGTGTGGCAAGGGTTGGGGGAGGGCAGGCAGAGAGGCCAGGCGAGCAGATGTGAGCCTGGGGGGACCCTCAGGAGTCTCAGGAGTCTCCCACGTTCCCGCCTGCAGCAGGGTTCTTCTGCCACCCAGAGCATCCCCATCTGCTGCAGCAGCGCTGCACAGACTGGAAATCAGCCGGGTGGGATGGTGCAACCAGGCTCATTTCCTAAGAGAGGTGGGGTATGGCTTGCTGGGCGTGGTGGGGCACACCTGTAATCCCAAGACTTGGGAGGCTGAGCAGGACTGCCTTGAGTTTGGGGCCAGCCTGGACTACATGGCAAGAGTTGTCTCAAAACAACAAAAAAGAAGGCAAAATTGTTTAAGAAAGCAAATAACAACACTGCAAAGCCCCTTAGCCATGCTCTAAACTCTGAAACTTAGTGACTTAGTGAGACTGTCTCAAAAAGTAAAAAGGGTTGATAGGGTCAGCCAGATAGCTCAGTTTAGAGCTCCTGCTTAGGAGCTGGGATTCCACCCCAATACGCTGTGCTGGCCCCGCCCGAGGCACACACTGACACGCTGGTTGAGACTGGGCATGGTGGGGTGCGCCTGTAATCCCAGTGCTTGGGAGGCTGCAAACAGGAGGATCACTATGAGTCTGATCTGTATACTGAGAACCTGTAGACCCTGTACTAAATACATTAAAAAAAAAAGGGGGGGGGTTGGTGATGTAGCTCAGCCTGCCAGTGTGAAGGCCCTAGGTTCAACCCTCAGTACTAGAAAAAAATTTCATGCTGATATAGAACACAGATTCTGAGAACAGACACCTAAGTGACTAACTAGGGAGACCACCTCATTTGCTATTGAAACCACAAAATTTTAAAAGGGACTGTTACTAATTCATCACGCTGGCATAACAGGACAGGCCTGAGGGTCTCAGGGCAAACCAGGGAGTAAGGCTAGCGATAAGACCTACCTCTGTCGGCTGTGCCTTGGGCTGGCCCTGCCATTGTCTTCTTCATGGTGAGGAGGTAGCAGCTCAGAGTTGTAGATGAGCTGAGCCTACATAGTGACTGAGAGGCAGAGCTGGGACTCAATCTAGCCAGAGCCCCAAGCCTCACCCACCGTGTGCTAAATGAGTAAGCTTAGGGAAACTGTTCCATTCTTCAGCATAGAGGTCCTGCTCCGTGGTCTGGAGGGCCATCCACCATCAGTCCTTTGTGGACTGGTGAGATAGCTCAGTGGTCTAAGCACTTATTTGGCAAGTACAGGGACCCAGGTTTGGTCCCCAGTACCACATGCTATGCTGGCCCTGTCCTGGGCACCCAGAGCTGGCTACCAAGACCAGCATGGTGGTGTAGGTCTATAATCCCAGTGCTGCGGAGGCTGAAATTAGGAGGATCACTATGAGTACGAATGAGCTATGTGTAGCGAGACCCTGTACCAAATACATTAAAGAAAGAAAAAAAAAAAAAGAAAAAGAAAAAAACAAGGGAGCATATAAAACGGGGAGGAGACAGTAAGACCACTGCACTTTCATCTGTACTCTTGTGGGAAAACCTGGAAGCTCCACAGCACCAGAGGGCCACGCAACCTCTCTCTAAAAACTATGAGCAACCAATACTCCCTCCCTGAGCGAGGCAGCAGAGCAGTGCCCTTGCCTGGTGGAGGAGTGTGTCTCGGGTCAGCACAGCTCTCTGGCCCCAGCAGCTAGAGCAGCAAACCCATACACACAGAGAATTTGTTTGAAGCACAAATTCCAAACTGATACATGAAACATCTCTTTATCAACGGGTGCTCAAAACACACACACACACACACACACACACACACACAAAAAAAAAAAAAAAAAAAAGAGGGGCTGGGGAGATGACTCAGTAGAATAAGCACTTGCCTGGCAAGTGCAAGGGCCTAAGTTCAATCCCCAGTTCCGCAAACAAAACAAAACAAAACAAAAAACAAAACAGGTGCTCAGTGTTAATCTTGAAGGGGTGGAGAAGCAATTTAGAAAAACAGGTAAAAACAGCTAAACTAGAGCCCAGTGACTCATAGGTAATGCTGACGTAAGCACCACAATTCAGTACGTAGAAGAGATGAAACCTGATGGCAGATACCAGGATGAAATTATCCTTGTGAGCTGGCTCAGGACTAAGAATGAAAGCCTGAGGCTTACAGGAGGCCTCAAACAGCAGAGGCCTGCCCGCTCCCCTACGGCCAGCTGCGCCCAGGGAGCAATGCTGAGCGGCCTCACCAGACGCCAGCTGGGGTCTGCTCTGCGTGCCAAGGACGACTGTGGTACAACTGCTGTCCAGGGTAAGCAGAGAAGCTGCGCAGGGGGTCAGGCAAAGCTGTCTTCTGGTTGGTGACAAAATGCAATGGTAGGTATGATTTCCAGCCAAAGGGAAAGAGAGGGCTGTTCTGCCCTGGTGGAGGAGCATACCTGGGGCATGAGGTGACTCCCAGCTGGGAGGCTGGGGAGGCGAGCCCACAAGAGCTGGCAGTCTGGCTGTGTGAGGAGACCAGGGAGGAAGTACAGCAAGCAGCTGTGCAGTGTTCTGGGTCCACCATGAAGGCCTCTGAAACGTGCCTGTGGGGAGACTCCAAGTGGCTGGGGAAAGGGCTGCTGGGAAGTAGGCCCAGCAATTCCCAACGCTGACCTGGGGCAGCCTGGAGCCCAAAACACTGACCTCATAGGGCTAGGGCACTTCCCTGGGCAGCACCTCCTGGGACCCATGCTGGCAAAGTGTAAAAGTCAATGCCAAGAGGACTAAATGGATTCCAAGATGATGTATGTGCCAGGAGGGAGAAAAGCCCAGCACTATATCAAGAAACATAGAAAGTTCACAGTGACTGCGTCCAATAAAAAATAAACCAGGGAGATAGCTCAGTAGAACTGGGGAGACAGCTCAGTAGAATAAGTGCTTGCCTGGCAAGCACAGGGTCCTAAATTCAATCCCCAGCTCCTCCAAAACAAACAAACAAACAAAAAAGAATAACAAGCAAAGAGCAGGACAACATGACCAAGAGGCAGGACCTGGCCCAGACTGAAGTGCGAACATCAGCCAGCAAGGACCCGAGAACAGTTCTCCTAACCACGATTCACGTGCTCAGGAATACAGGGAAAATAGGCAGGCGAGGAAGAGAGAACTGAAGGGAACATCTGCACACAGTGGAACAGAGGGCCCGGAGTGAGAAGTCAGGCGATTCCACATGGTGGGAGAGTGACCCTGAAGACATGCACTAATGGAAACCAGGTATACAGCAAACAAAGAAAACACAACGCCTGTGGGCCACCAGTGTGCTATCTATGGAACTGGGGCCCGTGGGGAAGCAGAGTGTTTAAATAAGTGGGTAAAAGTTACCAAATCTGACGTAAGTAACGTCCTCATATAACTATAAAAACAATGGACTTCCAAGCAGAATACATAAAGTACATTTAAAAAGAGTTGCTACACACCTGTCAGGATGGCTAGACTTTTTAAAAATTAAAAAAGTGCTGCCAAAGTGACTGGATTGTTCTCACATTCTGGTAGAATAAAAACAAAACAAACAAAAAAATACAGTCACTTTGAAACACACCTGGCAGTTCCTAATAAAGCATGTATTTAGCAAATGACCCAGCCTTCTAAGGCTGAGGGATTTACCCAAGATAAATGAAAACTTACAAATGTTCACAGTCCACAGGTCCTTCAGAGCCACAGGGAGATCGCATAGGGAATGTACAAACTATGGCATGTGCAGAAATGAACGTTTCTCAAAAACACAATTAAAAGAATGAGACACTAAAGACTACATACTGGGGCTGGTGAGATGGTTCAGTGGTCTAAAGCACCTACTTAGAACAAGCTAAGCCAAGCAAAGCACAGGGACCGCGGTTAAAACCCCCAGCACCACATGCCAGCCCGCCCACCCCCTGGTGGGCTGAGCTGGCCACACACAAAATAAATAAATAAATATTTTTTTAAAAAGACTACATACTGCAGAGAAACCACAGTGACAGAATACGGTCATCAGGCACAAGGGCTCAGAGACAGGTAGAGGGGACAAGGGAGGCACATAGGGCGAGGTTGTTTCATATCTTGACCATGGTGGCTACATGGCTGCATATATTTAAGAACTGCACACTTAGAATGGTGTTGTTTATTACAGGCAAATCATATCTCAACAAAGCTGAAAATAAAGAATGAGAAAAACCCTTCCTGTCACAGAGATCAAAGCAGCTGCTGTAGTGGTGCTCCCTGGGCAGCACCTTCCCTGCAAGGTGGGTTCAGGGTGTCTTGGGCAGATCCCAGTCCCACTCAGGGACAGACACATGTACAGAAGGCAGGAGCCATGCTCTAGCTACCCATTTCCGGGTCAGCACCCTTGTAATCTGACTAACTGTGGACACAGGCTCAACTATACTGGGGGCAGGAGACTACCTGTCAAGTCTTTTGTGGGCAGGGGCTACTGACGGATCCCAGGAAGGGAGGGCTCCAGGATTCCTAGTGCGTGCCACTCCACCTGCAGCTGGGAGACCAGGGCCCCTAGCTGAGGGAACTGCACGCCTTCCTCCCTTGGGGTGCAGGGAGAAGGCATGGGGTGAGACTGTCTTTGTGTGAATCTCATGGCCACCACTTACTATCTGTATAGCCTTGAGCTAATGACTCCTCTTAGCCCTCCAACCTACTCCATGGGGTAGTGGGAGCTTTTAAATCTTAATGCAAGCTGGGCACAGCAGCACATATTACTCTGCCTCAAAAAACAAGGTAGAACAAAACAAAAACAATACAGGCTTACTGCACTGCCCACTAAGCCCCACTCGGGCACCATCACTCCACGGGCACATGGAGCTTGTCCCCTACCTGGCCCACCTGTGTGGTTTCATGATGATCTGTCTCGGAGTGGCATGATGAGCACTCATTTTTTTGGGTGTTTTGAGATGAAGCCTCACTAAATTGCCCAAGCTGGCTTCAAACTTCTAATCCTCCTACCTCAGCCTCTTGAGAAGGTGGGACTACAGATATGTAACAGTGCACCTGGCTTGAGTGTCAGATTTTTGGTTTTTTCCCTTTTCTTGTTTTTTCTGAGATACGTCCGTGGGCTATGTAGTCCAGGCCAGCCTTGAATTTGCTGTGGCCTCAAACTATCCTCCTGCTTCAGCCTCCTGAGTGCTGGGATTATAGTTACACACTGCTATGGCCAGCCTAAGCATCAGTTTGTGAGTCAAAACCACCACCTATGCATAGTTGTTTCACCAATTCCTGCTAGGACGCTGGGCCCATGTATTTCATCTCTACCAACCTTGGGTTTTCTCATTAGTAAAACAGAAATCTTTAGAGTACTTATGCTATTTATGAAGGAGTGTCACTGACAGATGAAGATCAATGACAGAAAGTAAAGAACTGTAACTTTGACACCAGTGTGACTAGATCCAGCCACACCTGAATCCAGAGTGTTATCCCTTGAGAATGAACAAATCAACTCTTCTGAGAGCGACTGTTTCTCCTGACTCAAAAGTGACCCAACTGACAAAAGCTCTTTCAGCAGGCAGGACAAGCCATTGCTACAGCACGTCCAGACCTCCGTTACTCACCTGAGAGTGAGATTCCTTCTGCGAGCCCATATGGTAGATAGGCAAAAATGATCATCATGCCGAACTCCAAGGAAGGCGTTTTCCTCAAGTCAATGTGCTTTAACACGTAAATGGCAACTGTCAAGGAAGAAGGATCTGGGGCAGTGGATGGGAGATGCAGTGATGTCACAAAACTGCTGCCTTTCAAATACATAAACAAATACAAAAAATTTTGAACATTCCAAGGTTACAACTCAGAGTGTATTATAATGGAATCTTTCCTTGGTAAGAAAAGAATCTGACAACATGCAAAGGGTTCCTCAGGCAAATGGTGGGGGGAATTGAAACCCATCTAAATCAAGTCCTTTAGAAATGCTGACCGAGGGCCATGGATGAGCTCAGGGGTGCAGCACTCGCCTCGCACGTCCCGGAAGGCCCTGGATTCCATCTCCAATACTGGGAATGTGCTGGCAGTGCCCAGGCTGCAGACACACAGAGGACGGCCCAAACTGCTACCACCTTCCAGGACACTGGCAGCGCTCACCCAGGGGCAGCCACCATCTTGCCTGGCAGGGACCCAAGGAAGAACCATTACCCTGTGACTGACCACTCCTACACTCAGAACCATGGAGGCAGAGTCTGTGTATACTCAGATATTGCTTACAAAGCCTGTACTACAGAGCTCAGAGTCTCAATTTACTTGGTTTTGGGACAATATAGGCTTTCTGAAAAAGGTAAGTACAGAGGAGAATACCGAACTGAAAAAGTTTTCTTTTCCATTCTACCTACTGGTACAATATGAAAAGCTGTCAGCCGACTCAATAGAGCTTTTACCTTCTGGACAAAGGAGCTGAGGGAAAAACTCAACAGAATGGCAGAAAAACACGCCTGTAGCCAGGCAAGTCTTTTCCAGCCATCTGTGAGACAAACTGCTCGGGCAGGAGGGCCAAGCGGCACGTCCCACACGCACGTATAGAAGTGGTCTGGAGCCTGCTCTTATTTTAAACATGATGAATTTTCAATGGCAGTAAAGGTGTCACTGCCCTAAGAAGCCTTTTCTTCCCTGGCTGGAAAGCTCATGTGTTTTGTTTTGTGGAACCCAGGATTAAACTCAGACCCTTGCACTTGCCAGGCAAGCGCTTATTCCACTGAGCTATCTCCCCAGCCCCTTCACGTGTTGTTAAGCAACAAAATCTGCAAATAATTTTGATGATACTCGCTCTGGAGGCCCCTTTTCCAATCCTTCCAGACAATCATTTTCAGTGGGGTAAAGATTTTTTGTGATTTCTTTTGGTACCAGGGATTGAACTCATGACCTTGTGCTTGCCAGGCACGTGCTTATGCCACTGAGCTATATCCCCAGCCCCTCTTTCTTTTTTTCTTTTTAACTTTTTTATTTTTGAGACAGGGTTTTACTATACAGCTTAGGATGGCCTGTCACCCAGGCTGGCCTTGAACTCTCAGCAATCTGCCTGCCTCAGCCTCCCAAGTGCTGGGATTACCAGTGGTGCGCCACCATGCCTGGCCCTGCAAATTCAATTTCAAAAAATTTTATTTCCAGAGGGAGACAGCTCAGTAGAATAAGTGCTTGCCTGGCAAGCACAGGGTCCTGAGTTCAATCCCTGGTACCACCAAAAAAAAAAAAAAAAAAAAAAAGAAAGAAAATTTTATTTCCAGTGTACTGAGTGTGAAAATGACAGTGGAGAAGAAACGTCATGCGCGCATGGTGGCTGCCCTCTGGTAACTGAGAAGTCCTCTGAGTCACACTTCATATTCAGCAGGATATGTCCTTTTTAAGCTTTGAAAAGTGACATGCTACATTTCACAAGCTCAATTTTAAAATCCTTGAATTTAATTTACAAATCAGTTTGAGTGTTTCTCAAACCAGAACTCTGCAAAAACCCGTCTTTTAAAAAAAAATCTTAGATTACAATCAGCCTCTTAAAAAATAAAATCAGCCCCACTTCACGCATTCATCACATTAAAAGGATATTAGTGCAGAAATCAAGCCAGTCAGAGTTCCGAGTGCTGCGGAGCCAAAGAACATCTTGAGGAAGTAGCCAAGGGCTTGTAAAAATGTTTGCCACCCACTGACATCTGACATATTTTTTCTTGTTAAACCTTCAGCTGTGCTAAGAAATAGAAAACAGAAAAAAGTTAAAATGTTGCAGACAGTTCTCAGGCATTAATGTGTAAAAAGCTGTGCCCTGCTCAGTGGCCCTTGCGCCCACTCCATCACTCAGCTGGTCAGGTGTTTCCTTGCTCACTCACTCTCTCCCAGGTGTTACAGTAGTTCCTGGGCTCAGAGGTGAGCGGAATCGGTGCCCTGGAGGAACTCCCTAAACTAACGAGGGAGAAAAGCGGGAGGAGAGACAGTGAATGCCGAGCTGGGGCAGGGTGCGGGGAGGGCTAAGGGCTGCAGAGACACAGGGCAGGCAGCTACCTGGATGGGCTGGTCCTGAGGGAATGGGCTGGCTTTACTCCGAGATAGACGAGTTCAGCTTTCAAAGAAATGTGGGGAGGCACCCCACATGGGGAAGGCACATATGCCAAAGCAGGGAGACAGGGAGCCCAAGCACACGGTGCACGTCATGGGAGCACGCGCACACACACACACACACGCACACGCATGCACATGCACACACACAGGCCTGGGTGGTGCGGAGGTGTCACCCTGAAGGCCAGGAGCCTGGAGGAAGCACTTTCAGAACAGGGAGCCCAGGCCTGGGGCTGAAGCCCCGGCTACAAGTCCAGGGGAAGCAGGACCGGGGGGTTTTGGCTAAGTGGGGCTTTTGCGGGCTTTCAGAGGAAGAACAGAGGGAACTTCCCTTACACTACAGCAGAACAAATGAAAATGTCTCCTTTTTTTTTGGCGGTACCAGGGATAGAACTCAGGACCCTGTGCTTGCCAGGCAAGCACTTACTCTACTGAGCTATCTCCCCGGCCCGAAAATGTCTGACGCTATTAAATACAACTGCCTGTTTTAGCCCCAGAGAAAAGCATCACACTGCACACATGAAGCTACTGCTGTAAATATCCTCCTCCTACTCAGTCCTGCCAGCTCCGTCTTCCCGTCTTTGCATCAGTTACATCCCACACCTGGTCCTCAACTCTCAACTGTGTCCACTGCTGTCCCTCCCCAACTCCGGGCTGTGCCTGCCGCCCTATGGCCACTTGACTTGCTACCACCCTGGGTCTGCGCTCAGCAGCCCAAGTGACCCTTTTACAGTGCACACCCGGCCAGTTCCCAGCCTGCTCCACAGTCCTCAGCAGCACATGATGGCCCCAGGAGGAAGCCAGGCTAAGGACGACGTGGCTCCCTCACCTCTCCGACCTCATGCCCTCCCGACTTGGGTTAGATCCACTGTCCCTGGCATCTCCCTATGGGTCAACGCAGGCCCCAGTTAACTCCCTCATCCATGCCCTGATCAAGTGACACTCCCTGACCCTTCATGTAGGCAGCACATTTACAGGTCCTCACTGGCTGCCTTCTCCAGCACAGGTGAAAACTACAGCAAGTCATTCTGCAAGGCCTGAGCCTCTGTCCGTCTGCCTGGGACCATCTGGCCGGGGCCTACAGCCCGGCTCAGCACACTTGAAACACTCAACATGTTTTTGCTGTGGCAGTAAATAAAACCAAGAATCATTAATAGCAATCATTTCATTTTTGTTCATTTCTTTTATTTTTGTGGTACCAGAGATTAAACTCAGGTCCTTATACTTGCCAGGCAGGCACTTATGCCACTGAGACATCTGCCTGGCCCTCTTTATTTCTTTTGTGAGACAAGCTCTCATTATGCAGTCTGGCACTGAATGGAGGCACTGAATTAACTATGTTTCCCAGGCTGGTATCAAATCATGGCAATCCTCCTGCCTCAGTCTTCTGAGTGCTGGGATTTGCCCAGTTTTTCTCCTTTCATTTTCAAGTAGAATAACCTCTGACAAGCTGGGCATGGTGGACTTCCTAGCCTGGACTACAAAGTGAGTTCAAACGTAGCCTGAATTGGAGGAGGGGGAGGAAGGGGAGCTGCAGAGGGAGGAGGGGGGAGGAAGAGGAGAAGGAGAAGGAGAAGGAAGAAGGAAGAAAGAAGAGGAGGAAGGGAAGGAGGAGGAGAAAGAAGAGAAAGAGGAAAAGGAGGAGGAGGAGAAGAAGAAGGAGATGGAGAAGGAGGACATGGAGGAGATGGAAGGGGAGATGGAGGAAGAGATGCAGGAGAAGATGGAGGAGGAAGAGGAAGAGGAGAGGAGATGAAGGAGGAGGAGGAAGAGGAGGAGGATAATCATTTCGGACCAAAGGGAGGCTTGGGCAAAGACCTCAGGAAGCCTTTCCTGGAGCTGCATAGCTAAGGATAATGTAGCACAGGTTCTGCAAAGTCTTACGAAAAAGAAATCTGCCTTTCTTCACACAAGTTTTCCAGACTCTCCTGAACACAGCGTCTCCCCCTTCCCCTTGCTTTCTCTGAAGATCACAGGCTAATAGCTCATCCTGGGGACTGTGGGAGTCCATTAGGCTCTCCTTGGTGAAGGGCTCTGAAAGGCCAATGTCAGCTACGAGTTGTCACAGCGAACCTACAGACTACAGGTTTGTGGTGCACGGCCCCTGCCCTCCTCACTACTAGCTAAATGTAGGCTGCTTTCACTATCTCCTCTTTATACTGGGGAGCTGAAGCACAAAGAGACTAATTTGGTTTAACGGCAGCTCCAGGGCTGGCCAATAGGTTCTGAACTGCAGGTCAAGAGAGCTCAACTGTGCAGGGGCTGGGGGTTTGATCCCTGGGCCTGCCAGGCTGGCCCTGCCCCTGGGGTGCACTGAGACAGCAATTGAGACTGAGCATGGTGGTGCACGCCTGTAATCCCAGCTCTTGGGAGGCTGTAAACAGGCAGATCACTATGAGGAGGATCTAGTAGTGACACCCTGAACACCCTGTAGACCCTTCCCTAAAATCCAAAAAAAAAAAGCACAATTGAGCTCTTCCTGACCTGGCAATTTTTTTTTT